ACCATGTTCTACGACTTATTTTCTTAGTATGTTCCTTCCCCTAATTCTTCCCAAATGTACCACTGTGCTGTATTTTCTCATTTCCATCTTTTACTCGTTCCTCGTCCATCCTTTAAGCTCTACTGAAGGAAAGATTAGTACGAGGACATAGTGCACCCCGACACTCCTCTTATCTTCTCGAAATAGACTAAGGGAAAAGAGCAAGAGGCTCTTGATGTTATTGATTTCATCCAGAAATCAATACAGAAATCACTCTTCTTTCGCTGCTAATTCTAGTTACCAATCCATCTTACCATCCTGCCTCGCAAGCCTAGGTGAAAAAATTAATTTGACTAAAAACTGTGGATAACGCTCTGATTATTATTAAATATTATATCAATATTTAATTTATTCATTACATAAATATTTAAATATTTGGTGTTTATAAAAGCCTTCCTACTTCCTCTGCCTCCTATTCAAATCAGCTCTAATCAAATTTAAAGTTGAGAAATACAGTTCTGCTGCATATATTAGAATATTTTTTACATGCTATTTTCATAATTTCATTTAGTTTTTCAAACAGAAGTAGCTCTTCCCGACTTTCCACAAACATTAATGCTCGTTCACCACAAGATGAGAAAGTGTTATTACACCACAGCTACCCCACACGCAACATATACTTATCCCAACAGATATAATCTGAGCATTAACAAAACAGATCATTATCCTATTTAATAAAAGGTTATGACGTAGCCACTCCTGTATCACACACAAACCAGGCAACAAAAAATCTAGAATAAATTGGAGGAAAAGCACCAAAATTCAAGCTCTCTCTATCACACGCATTTAGCAGTTACTTGCTTTCCTAGCACTTTAGCCAGTATTTATTTGCTTTGAATTTAGAAGGGAAATTACATTCTGAAATTACTGACAGATCTAGCAATTCTGTCTTTGATCTTATAAAGACATCTTCCAGGTTAGTGTAAAACCCAAAATACAGAAAAGTTTTATGTATGCAAGAGTTCATGCTAATAGATGGCATGAAGTTTGAGTACATGCAATATTTTTCTGCAGGACTAGGAAATACATATTTTTCCCTCTACATTATGTCCTGTTATTTGGCAAGTACTTACTCCTGCTGTTCCCTCTCCTCACCCCAGCTTTTCTTATTTATTCGTATGGAACTGAATCCAATTTTGTTTCTCAGTGACAGGCAGCAATGCTCCCTGGAAAACCCTGGAGCCAAGCAGCACCAAAAATATCAGAGAAGTCCAGGGCACACTCGTGTAACCATTCTCAAATGCCATTTTCCCCACAACATCACTGTATTCAAGCCCAGAGGTCACTGCCCCAAATTAGGGAGCAAAATATCTGCAAAACCCAGTAGTTGCGTGGCCCTGGGCAAGAGATGACAGCAATGACAGCAAGGCCACCAGGCAGGCGAAGCCCAGCGCCCGTTCCAATGACTGCTTGGCTCCTGCTCCCTTTAGATGGTGTCTGTGTCTCAGGCCCAGGTTTTAATAGCTGGGCTTCCACCAGTTGCTATTTTCTGCTCCCTGCTAATTGCTGCTGTGATCTTGTGCAGTCAGTATTAGCCTCCCTGCTTCACTTTGCTTTTAAGCAGAGCATTACACAGGGCTCAGTCATAGGTACCTGAAACCAGCTGCAGGCAACTTTCACACAAGGGATCCTTTAACCACAGGGGAGCAGAGCCTTCCCACACCCCGCCTGCAATATTAAGTCTTTGCCATCTCAAGCTGTGTTGTTTATTTTTCCCCCCCTCATAGACATGTACATATATTAAGAAGCTTCTCAGGTGTTCATCAAATATCAATTAATTAAAGCAGATGGGGGGAGTATTTAATAAAAAGCTGGTAGCCGCAAAACCAGAAAAATAAGTATTAACACCTTTAAACAAGGGATATAACACACACTTCAGTTCATGTCACAGATGCACGCTTCCTTTCACTCTCTCCTCTCCAGGCAGAGTTTTACCTTTCCCAAAAATAAAAGAAAATAAAGAAAATAAAGAAATCATAATACAGCACTTACTTGGGTTGGAACGAGCACTGGCGGATACGCCAGTTTGTGATGTCTGTACATCCAGAAGGAAAAGAGGACTATCACGGCAATTCCCATTATAGGCACCAGGGAATAAAGCAAGGTATTGAACAGAGGTGGCTTAGGTGTAACAGGATTGGAAGTTGCTGGTGGGAAGGGAAAAAAAAAGATTATTTTTTTGCAACACATCTTTTAAGAATCACACTTGAAACATCTGTGATCCTGCTTTTCTCAAAGCTATTGTAATCAGCACTACTGGCAAGAAATATTTAATTAAAATGCACTCTACAAATCTGAAGCATGTTCTAAAGGCAACATTTTAAAGAGTACAAAAATAACTTAGATCTCCAGATTTATGGATCAGCACATCTAGTTTTGCTCGTGTTTTAACTTCTACCTACGTGCCTACAGTGTGTTTGTATTTAGAGTTTCTCAAGACTGCCCCTGTTTAATTAACGAAAAAATATATACAATGTGATTTCATTCATAAGTAGAACAGGCCAGAAATAATCTGCCAAAGTTAGTCTGCACTGTTGATTTGCTCAAAAGAAAAAGCCATTAGTTCAAGACTCTTCTGTAGGACTTGGGAAGGACTTCAGAGAAACGCTGCTCCTGGGGCAGCTGGCACAGGGAGCCCCAGAGCTTTGGGACACTGAGAGGTACAATGAAGATGACAACCATGTCAACTGTTGGGTTAGCAGTAACAGTGACAAACCCGCCAAGAATGTCACTTGGGTCAGTGAAGGCTATTTTAATCGCACATAAAAAGGAATTAATTTCATACACAACTTCCTCGGACTGCTTGGCACTTGAGACAATATCTGTTTTCAGTTCAGTTATTAAAATTAATTTGTTTTCCAAGTAAGATTAGATTTCTTACTGGAAGAAAGTAAGCAGGAATAATCTAATAGTCTTTCAGTTATTGTTTTAAAAACATTTATTTGCCTAATGGGACTGATTTTCTTTGTAACCTGGGAAGAACCCCTTCCCCCTTTTTAAAGGTTACCGTGTCAGTTTGCAGAGAAATGACAGGGTTCAATTAGTCTGTAACAGAACAGTACTATTTCTAGAGGAAAAGCATCCACAGGCTGGAACATGCACACATGGATGATACAGCTTATACCACATGGATTTAAGGCCTTATTCATGCAATAAAGGTAAGATTTGACAAGAAACCTTTTATGTTAAAATAGCAAATTATTCCAGATTATCCTTCTTTCTTACATTGAGAAAAGTACCTTTTCTCAATTTTAACCTTTTTACCAACTTTCTTCTAGTACAGAGCCCTTTCAAGCTGGAGAAGTGAACAGACAAGTCTCCAGGCTCTGTCTATGAAGGCACATAGCTCTTTACCACTTGGAAATCAGAAACCTTCTGATCACTGCAAAGTCTCATGTGAACATACACAACATGAAATGCTTCTGCACTCTGCTAAGCAATTTCTTCATGAATGTGTTACACTGACTTACGTTGGGTGACCTCCATTTCTGGGAAATAGAAGAAACGCTCGTTACACATGTTGCCTTCACAACAGCAGAAAAACACTTCAGGGCTGTCCTTCTTCTCTATGCAATCATTCCTATAAAAGATAGTAGTAAACCTTATTAAACTTAAACCATTTTGCTCAAGAAAAAACATTGCTCAAGAAAAAAACCATACATTCATATTTAAAATAGAAACAGAGCTTCAGTAATTTTTCAAGAGATCTTACTATCCAAATAAAGTCAAAAGCGAAGATGAAACAAAGTCATTAAAATAAATTTTATCCATCATTTCATCCTGCAATGAAATATCATTAATGGTAATCACAGTCACAAAGTTGGAGAGAAGTACGAAGGAGAATTTTTTTAAGAAAAAAAATAGTAAGAATATTTCACAACGTCCCCTGTATACATCACGCATAGTTTTACTTCACTATTCAGGAATCAGCTAATTGAGTAGTGGTAAGGTACTCAAGAAAAGTAAGGAAAATAGTCATGCAGGGAACAACTTGACAGCAGAAAGAATCTGAAAATCTTGTAGGAATAGATGAGGATTTTATTTACTGCTGAAGAGCTAAGTAAAAAGTTTTTCATTCACCCTCAAAAATTAGATTGTACTATAGCATAACTTCCACAATGCTTTTTTTCTTTGACATTCTTCACTTGCTGTTGTTTGTTATCATAATATAAGTCCCTGTTTAGTAAACTAGTCTTCAGTCTCAGAGATAACACTTTGTCTAACATATTTTAAACAAGAGCGTGGCAACTGGCATTCTCATGATAAGTAACAGTTAATGAGACCTTAGAAGCAGTTCTCAACTTTTGCCTTACTCTTTCCTTCCAACTATTTCTTCCTCCCCATAACTTATTTCTTCTCCTCCCAACTCCTCTTCATTGCTTAATACCATAATTTTTCATGTTCTTCAATGCTCAAATGGGAAAAGAGGGTTAACAATGCTAGAGTCTTGCTCCATTTCAAAAAAAAAAAACTATTTTCATCCTAAACTTAATATTTTGTGGTAATAAAATTCTAAATATTCTCACTTCTTCACCAAAGTTATGGCCAAGAAGGGAGGGGAGAAGAAAAAAAGAAAAATTGCCAGTCATGGCTGATTTACTAGATAGCAGTAGCAAGAATTAAGGTTTCATGATCGTCTTTTCCTCCAACGCAGCCGAATTCCAGCTGGGCCGTGCAAGTGAACGTGGAGACACCTTGCTACTTCTTAAATATATATCAGAAGGACTGTTCCATTTAGCTTTAAGCTATGCATAAAAGAGAACACAGATCTGTGTAGGAAAACTTTGCCTTTTACAGAGCTGACTGTGTTTTCCTCCAGCATTTAGAAACAAAAAAGGAAATTCTTACATTATTATTTTTAGCCATATTTCAGAGCTGCATCTTAAAAAATGCCCCGCTCTGTATTTATTTTAATCCTCTCTCTTTGCAAACAACAACTAGTTTGTCTAACACAGGTTAGTCTGATACTTCAAAGAACTATCATGCTATTTCTTGAAAGAGTCACGACCTTTATTCAGCCAGTATCTACCAAAACTCAAGTCCTGCTGTTCCTGCTCACGGGTACTTGCTAGACCATCTGTTCCACAGAAATGGCTGGGATTTTAAAATACTCGGCATCTCTTCGAGCTGCCACTGAGCTGAGCTTTTAATAAACAGGCACAACGCTTCCATGGCCACGGGAAGAGCAGAGCCAGGGCGCCGAGCTCCCCAAAGACGCCGGAAAACGGAACTCTGATTTCACGTTTTTGTTTCAATAATGTATTTGTGCTGTTTGACGATAACAAGCCCTGAAAAAATATATATTATTAATGGCATAAGCATGAAAATAATTAAACAGGAGATTTTTAATATGTAAAAGATTAAAAAACACATTAAAATTACGTAGTAGGTATATAGGAAGATAACTCATGCCATTCTGTAAAGAAGAGTAACTACTTAGGATTTAGGTCTCACTCAAGCGAGGAAAAAGGCGTGTGTGTTTGCAGGTGGCTAAGAAATAAACTATCTGCATTTTGCTCAGCCACTGCTGCAGAGGGGACATGGCATCAAAAAAAGAATAGCAAGCAGAAGAGTTTTAGATTACCAATAATTTTAAAACTTGCAGGAAAACTTGCTTACCTGTCATAACAGTTGATATCATCCAGCCAGCAACCTTGTTTCACAATTTCGATGGATCCGGAAATATTCTTCCACGTAGCAAAGCAGTGTCGTCTTTTATCTTTATCACCATAGCAAGGCTCGATGCCACTGCGGTTTGTTTTATCCTTTTCCCAATTAGCGTTGTAGTAGATGCACTCTTGTGTTTCTGATCTGCCAAGTATGGCACCTTGTAGGGATTAAAAATAAATCACAATTAAACAGCTTTCCGAAACACACCTGAACAGTCCAAACGACAATATTGTATTGTGCCCTGTGTCTCTCTCCCATGTCACTGGCCCAACACGCACTGTGGCATCAACCATGGCCACAATCAGAGGCTTCACCCAGCAGAACCGAGGGCTTCAGAGGCCCCAAGCCTGGGCACGATGAGGGCTCCTGGGAGGGCAGAGTTGGAAAGATGCTTCTGGGGGATGCGGTGCATGAAACCTTCGCATGCACCCACGAGCATTGAGGCAGCTAGGGCAGAAGGGAGGAATAACTGGCTTTTTACTCCTGTTTTTATCTTGTCGAAGGCTGCCAAGAGGATGTCATTAATCTTCATGTGAGCGCCAGCATTTAACACATTAAAAAACATGGTGGGGGGAGGAAGGAGAGTGACTATAACTCCCTAAAGAGTCAAGACTCATTTCAAAATGAAGGAAGGGGCAGAAGGATGACAAACCGTGTTTACTTTGCTTTCACACCTATCTGATCTATCCAAGAGAGGCGGTTACATAACACGTCACGTCGCAGCGCAGAGTTTTGGGAGCAGCATCTGCAGGTCAGTATCATACATATTAATTGGTATCACTCGAGACACCGGCACCGCGACACGCCAGCTCCGGCGCTGCAGGCCCGTCCCTGTTTCTCTCTTTGCACACAGAGCAGCCGTAACCCTGGCTCCGTTTGCAGAGCAGCAGCAAGAGGTGGCACCAGGGGACCGGCTCGCTGGAAGGGCACCCACCCCGTAGCACCTCCTCAAAGAAGCCTCCACTGTGAAACCTGCTAGAGAGGGACCAAAAAGCCACATCTTGGAGCAGTAAGAATTATATCAAAACGCAAATTTTGAACGAGCACTGAACCTCAGAGGCGGGCGCAACGTTGGGCATTTCCACCCCACCACCTTTGGACGCTTTCGGCACTGACGCGTTCCCAAAATAGGCAGAGGATGTTGCTTACGCTCCTTGGGAAGGAGCCGAGCTGTTCCACGGGAGAACGGCACGAGCCAGCTGGTGACGCTGCGAGGTGCAGCATGTTAACTATTATTGCTTTGTGTTGAGAAGGCCTGACCTTTACATCTCCCAGCTATGGCAAGAAACAGATGAGGCAACAGATTGAACAATTTGGTTCTGTCAGTGCAATAAAGCAGAAGTCCTGGATTTCTCTCACACGTGCCATTCCTCTGCTGCTGCTGCCAAGCCTAGCCACAGACAAGCTGAATTTGATGAAATTCTGAAGTTACACTAAAATCAACTTTGCACAAATATTTTTTTCTCATAAATGCCTTCTCTATAAACAGCCTTTCTTATACGTTAAGGCTCTGAATCAGTACCACATATGCAATTGGCCAGCAACCAAACCGTGGTGCAGTGACCTCAGATCCGAATGGAGCATCCAACCGCAGTATCTCCCTAGGGGCTGGGTGGACATTTGTGTTGGTTGCCAGACAAAACTCATGCATGGACATCCTAGAGTGACCTTGGCCTTATCTTCCAAACTGGACAAACCGGAACAAGGTGTGAGCAAGGACAGAAATGAGCAAACTGCACATGAGCGCAGCCCTGAGCCCAGAGAAAACATCTGCTTGTGACCACCTCTCCACAAGGAGGACAAGCCTTAGAGAAATAGGGTAGTTGGCATTTATGACCAAAAAAAAAGTCTGCTTGGGTTCCAATTTAGGAACATGCCTGTAATGAAACTCCTTTCAACATTCCGAGGGCTGACAAATATTTTCTTATGAAAATTGTTGAGTCCTCAGGAAATCTCCTACTCAACCTCAAAGAGCCAAATGCTACTGGTGAAGGAAGCCGTGAGAAGGCACCAAGACAACCCCAAGATCTGAATGTTTGGAAAAGAAAAACATAGTCTAGAATGCAAAAATACTCTAGTATTTGATAGAATTCAGTTTCAGCATGAGCACAGAGAGCATTTCACATGCTCTGTTCAGTGTTGTGATGAGTTTGCTCATGCATCCCTAGACATTTGTGCTCATCCCAAAGTTGCAACAAGACGAGAGAACCAACATTAGCTACTGAACTTCTGAACTGCTGTTAATACATATTACCACATAACTGTGAGCAGTAAACAAATTTATTAGATTTTACATGAGCACTCTGGGTAGCCTCACTTCAGGAGGAATTTGAAGGACTGTCTACCATTTTTTGCAAGAAGAAGGTCTATAGAAGTGCCTAAAAAAAAAAAACTGAAAGTGGATTTTTAAGGTAAACAATAACTACACATATCTATTAAGAAGGACTATACCATTACAGTCTCAATTAAGAAAGGGATTAACAAATAGCATAGGAAGTACAAGTTCTCCTTCACAGATGCCACTATATTCTCCCCAGAAGGGGAAGAGAAATTCAGACTTCTGGAAGTTCTGTCATCTGGGTTATATTTTCTAATCCTCAAAGTGAGCAACACGACCTTATTGGTCTGTAATGCACGAAGGGTTTCAGCACGAGGATTTCATTGATAATTCAGAGCTGCGACTATGGCCTTTATTATTTCGTGCGTGTCCTGCTCCCATCTCCTTTAGGAGATATTTGGTTGGTGATGTCATGTCAAGAGCACAGCGAATCCAGTCACAGAGATGTGTTTGTTTGGTGGGTTACGAAACCTATCAAAATCTGCAAGTTGAAATCATGAAAACGGCCAAAAAAGCTACGGAGATGGCTTGAAGGTGCTGAGATCCAAGTCTTCCGAAACCAGCCTGTGTCTGCAGACTGCTCTGGCGGGTCCTCCTAACATGTAACCAATGTCCCCTCAATTAGAGGGGACCTGAGAATAAAGCAAATCCAACCACATTTGGGTATGTCTTCCAGCCCTAACCTGACTTCTTTTCTAGGTAACATTTTTGAGATGCAGCGACTTGAGCCAGAGATGCAAAGGACAGCACTGAAGTGTGACACGAGCGATTGCACCCGTATTTCCTGGCTGTCCCTTGCAGGGCAGTGAACTTCAACCCGTTCTCAGCACTAATGACCACACTGATATGGAAATACGTGCAGGAACCCTCCTGTGAGGGGACAACTTTTTGTCTGTTCCCTAGAAGACCTAAAGTGTAAGAGAATTGAAGTGCCCAGTCCTGCAGCTACTTGTACTTAGGATAGAATAGTTACTTGAATTGTTTTATGAATTCTATGTTCCAGAGGAAATTAAAGTTACTCCAAGTACAAGGATCTGCAAATACATAGAGAATGGAGAAGTTTATCAGAATAAATTAGTCCAATGGAATACCCAGAAGTACCACTGGGACTGCACGCTATGCGAGTTATCTAGGGGACAGAATAGGCACTAAAACTTAGTCACCAAAAATTTAAACTCTAACATGATTCTTAGACCAAATATACCAATAACTGGGCCAAACTGCACTGCCAGTGCTAGAAACACAGAGCCTCCACATAGGGTACCTGTCTCCTGATGCTCCTGCCCCAAACTCTCAAAGAGCAAAGAAAAAGCAGTGCTCTCCAACCAAAGCCTAAACAAACCATCAAAGCTAGCGCAGGAAGATATGAACCACGGGTGGCTCTCGTGCTCTTTGGTTGCAACTGGCAGAATTGCCATGTTGATGCTCGAGAGATTTTCACAAGAAAAAGGATGTACCTTGAAATAAACACTATCTCGATAGCTTAGAAACACAAGCAAATTTCCTCCTTCTCCACAGCCTGCGGAAAGCGCAAACGTTACCCCTGTCTTCTGCAGAGCAGGAGGGAACCAGCCTGCAGAAAAGCAGGGATGGCTCCTGCACACAGTTTTAATCCGCTTCCCACCTGCTGAGAGCAATAACTCGGGAACGCCCATGTGTGACTCACTGCAACACTCTGATCAAAGTGATACTTTGTCCAGGTTGGCGTTTCTAAGACCTCTTCTCTGTGAGCTATGAGATATTGGAAGAACGTCTCAACTATGAGCTATGAAACATGTCAAGAGTCCCACAAGGAAAGACTGCTCGTTAAAAATTCCTGCAACTTCAAGGATGGATGGGAATACTTACGAGAATGGTATCTGCTTTTCAACTTTCCTTACCTGCTTAAGCCAGGAGATAGATGATATTAATAAAAATTAAGTTTTCTCCAAATTTTTCTACACTGTGCACTTAATACATCTTGCAGAACTGCAGAATATGCTCAGTATGAACACAGTGCCAGTCTATGCAATGAGACGTAGGAAGTTTCTCCCTTCACCTCCCCTCTCCAAACGCACAAACAGAGGAGCAGAAGTTGGCTTGTTCATAAGAGTTGTATATTATATTATATGCACAGGGACCAGGCTTCACTACTATATGTGAACTTCTTTTCAGCAGTTGTAAATGCCCTGCCAGCCTGAACATAACAACCCGTTCATCCCTCCCCTTTCTTTTTCCCAACAGGGCCAGCCCTTTTGCCCGAAACCAGCCCAGGGACCTTGCGAGCTGCTCGGCTGTTTGTTTGGCCTGGCCTGGGCCGCAGCAGCTCCTGGCTAACGAGCAGCCACGCAGTGACCAGCAGGTGCTGGCAATTCACAGCTGCCCTGGCCCAGGTGAGCCCTCCGGAACACGCGTGGCGCCCATGGAAGCGGGAATTGCCTTGGACACGGACCGGGGCAAACGGAGCCATGCGTGTGGAGAAAGGCGGCGTTCAGAACTGGAGGCTTTAAGCCTTTAATTGCTCCCCCACTCAGCTGGGCTGGGAACTCAGAATTCAGCTCTGCAACATATTTATGGAGCATCATCACGCTCCACTTCGGTCTTGGCTGCTGCTCCAGCCTGGCCACAACAGCGAGCCCGACACGCTCCCTTCCCAGCTCGCCCTTCTCGACCGGGCTGCCCAGAAGTACATGCAGTTTGAGGTGAAACTTCACTGATACTTCCAGGGTACCAACACTGTTTTCAATCTCTAGGAAATGCTTCTTCAAAGGCACCCTAGGATTGTGCATGACAGCCAAATTGCATTAGTAGCTCGTGCTCTCCACATTATAATGC